TGGAGCTAAAGGTGAGGTAGACATCACGGCATGGTGTGGCAGAGGAAACCAGCTCACAATTAGAAAGCAGTGAGAGAGGTCTCCACTTGCCAGATACAAATATATACCCCAAAGCCACGCCCCAATTCCCACCTCCTCCAGCCACACCCTACCACTTCAGTTATCACTCAGTTAATCCTTATCAGCGGATTAATTCACTGATTGGGTTAAGACTCTCACAACCAAATCATTTCTCCTCTGAACCTTCTTGCATTGTCTCACACTTGAGCTTTTGCCAGGACATCTCACATCCAAACCATAACATTCATAAATGCTCCTTAGTAGGACACATTATTTTTGTGTCTTTTAGCTGATTATTTTGATATTTATCTTTATGACTCTAAAAGCATGCTTAACTTTTTTCCTAGTCAGGTATTATTGATTGAATTTCCCTCATAGAAGACAAGAATCTGTCTTTCTGATCTCCATCTCAACACACACACATACATGCTCCCTTCCCAACTCTCCATCCTCTCTGTCTAATTTGGCTAAGCAATAATCCGTGTTTGAGTTATTCTATCATATCTGGATACCTTACAGAATTAAATCTTGGAGTCAACTAACTACTGTTTTCCTGAGAGCTGACAATTGTTGATTCTCCTCTTCCTCCTTCTCTTCTTCCTCTTCATCTCAGTTTTCTGTGTACAAATCATTGACAACAAACTCAAAACCAGCTAACTAAGTCATCATCCAAGACAACCAGATGCATTATGTCTGGTATCAATTTTGTCTTTCTAAAAAACCTCTCCTAAAGCCTTCAGGCCTCCTGAGTTTGGATTGCTGACACTGGGCACAACTGTCTTCCAGGGACTCTCCTCCCGTCATCATCAAGCTTCTCTTAGCTTCTTTCCTATGTTGATATTGATGGAGTACATCCTTTGTTTCCTTCATACCTCAAAGGAATAATAGGAAATAAAATTTTATGAACTTTTGTACCCAAAATGTGTCTATTTTACCCTCACACTTGATTGATAGTTTGGTTTCATACAGAATTCTAAATTGAGAATAAAAACTGATCTTCAGAATTTAAAGGTGATTCTTCATTATTTTCTAGCTTTCAGTGTTAGTATGAGAAATTAGAAACTTAGTCTGATTCCTAGTCATCTGTTTGTACCCATTTGTTTCTATCAAGGGTTGTGTCCAGTTTTCTGAAGTTTCATGAATTGCAAGGTATGATTGTGTCTCATCCTTTGTTCTGGACACTTAGTGAATTCTTTCACAATGTGCTAAAATATGCACTTCTCTTAAATTATTTCACTGATGGCTTCCTGGTTATATTTGTTCTGTTCTCTTTTGGTGAATCCTGTTATTAGATATTGATTCCCTAAGCCTGTCCTCTACTTTTCTCATATTTTCTATCCCTTCGTATTTTTACTCTGCTCTTCTGGAAAATTCCTGGACTTTTTATTCTGACATTTGTGAGGGGTTTTTTAAATATTATTTTTCTTTTAATTTTTAAGGGCTCATTCTTAGTCCTTAAAAATATATCCCTTATTTTTATAATACCCTAAAAATTAGATAGTTTCTGAAACAGGTTTTAGGCTGATCCTTATTTTGATACCCAATCCTTTACTCCCCATTTCCATAGGTATCTAGTGACCTTAATTAATGAACTTTTGGGGAATGATTAAACATTGGCTCTCTTTTTTCTGCTATATCAGTTATCATTCATTCATCTTCATTCATCTTTTATAATTTGTTGATAATTCTGTGTTTATTTTCAGTTATTATTTATTTCTAGCAAATGCTATTTGTTATTTGTATATACAGTTTCAGTACATAGTTTCCCTTAACATTGACTCACATTTTAAAAGAATAAATTGGCACACACACATACATAAAGATCAGTGATTATATAGATGGTGTGGCTACTGTAAAACAAATATTAAATAGGCTAATTGTGGTCAATGAAATAGAGAAAATTGAAAGTATGGTATAGTACATATTTTTTCTTCTCCTTTTTTCTGTAATTAAAAACAGATATTCCTCATGTTGAAAATTTGACATTTTTCTCTCTTTTCTGCTATAGTTGTTACATTTTTAAATGTCATTTATATTTTCATTGCACATTTTTTTCTTGTACTTGATGAGCAGCTCTTTGCAACAAAACTAGATGCTGCTAAAACAAAGCCAGCTGTGTTTACTTCACTTTGAAAAGTTCCAATAATAATTTGTAATGAGGTTAGTGTAGCTATTTATGGCATGAAATACCTGCCAAAGTATTTGTGATAAGGCAAAAGAAGATGAAATAGAATTGCAAATTAATAACTACCTTAGATTTCAACCCAATATGGGGAATTGTTACACATTTGGTTACTTACTGTGGGGCAAGCAGGTGATAAATGGATTCCTGGCTGATGTCGTTTATATCACACACAGGACTCATCTGCTTCACATGGTTATCAAAACTTAATCCTACTAGGTGGGATTAGGCCAGGTGAACTTTATGACACTGAATGCGTGGAGTGTCATTATCTTACAACGCATCCTCTATCACTTCTACCATATTGCTTGTCTGTCTGATGTAGATATTGGAACATCATTTCTCATCACTTGGGCAACTGTGCACAGTGTAAGTGTGAAGACAAAAGTGCCTGGGAAATTTCTCATTTTTGAGAAAGACATTTTAAGTCTTGTATCTATGATGATTTTAAAGGAAACAGTAACCATTTATAATTGTGATTATTGTTATTTGAAACATGAAGGGGAGAAAATAGAACTTTGATGCCAAAGAGTGATGGAAAAGAAGTAATGATAATATTTGGACACAACTAAAGGACCTGGGTTGGGTTTGGTGACAGATATAGATAAGGGAGAAAGGAGGGCAGCTGAGAGGTGCAAATACAACCTTTAATTCATTTGGGCTTTGGGCACTTTTTAAAGTTAAAAATAGATGTGTTTATATATGTATCTGTATGTGTGTATATAAAACAATAGACCATGTTAGTGAACTATTTTATTAAAGTTGGATTTTCTTTCATTGAAATAATTGATATATTTATATTTTTATAGTATTGTTAGTGATTTATAGAACATTAAATAAATTAATTTTGGCAATGATCAAAGAAAAATTTCAGAAGAAATTCTAATCATAATCATATATATAATATAATTCTCTCTAATCAAGTTAGTATCTTCCACATTCGTGACTAATTATTTAACTTACTTATTTAACTTCCACATTCCTTAGTTAATTATTTATGTATTTTACTTAAGTGTATAAAATGTATTCCTGAAAAATCTATGCTTTAGATATATGTAAGAAAATGCTGTCCTTCATGTTAAGATTCTGTTACTGAAATGCCATCAGTTAGAAAATATTTTTAGTTATTTTTTTTCTGTATCCATACTTATTTACATTTTTTTATTCATCTCACTTAGTTCTTTTGAAAACCAATAATTAATATTTTTTCCCTCTTCCATCTCTGATGCTCTTTTTCTCTCTCTGTTATTCTTTTCTTACCTTCCTTAATCCATTTCTAAATGTGTAGGAAGTGCAAGATAAAGTATATTAAGACAATTGTTCACTCCCTTGCAAACTTTTGATGTTTCCTGACTTTTAAAAATATCACCTTTTAGTTAGTGTTAGTTTTCGTCTCTGTTATGCTATTATAATATTCTCAGAATGTGAATAAAAGGCCTCATTTATTCAACCATTGTGAAATTTAGGGATGAGGAATTCAATATAAAATAAAAGCACATTACAGAAAATAGGAAAACTCTATCATTTCTCGGACTACAATTATGCATTGAGAGAACATGGTTGGTCCTGGTGGAGACACAGTGGCCACAGGAAAGTTTATCATAAACTGATAAACAAAGAAACAAGATGACTCCAAGAGAGTGATAAGTGCTAAAATGAAAATCAACTTGGGAGATGGAATAGTGAGTGGTGTGTGTATGTTGTGTGCCTACGTGTGTGCATGTACATGCAGGTGTGCATGTACACTTGACAATTGAGGTTCTGTGGTTTCTCATTTTTCAAGTGAAGGGTTGAATTAGATGGTCTCTATGGTACATTCAGACCTTTTCTAATGATACAGCTTTTCTAATTTTGTTCAGCATTTTTGTACCCCATCTACTTTTCAAATTATATGACATATTGATTACCCATATGAGTACTTTAAAAAACAGAAGTATAATTCAAATGCGGTGGCACATGTCTCTATTCCCAGTGGCTTGGAAGGCTGAGCAGGAGGATCACAAGTTCAAAGCCAGCCTCAGCAACTTAGTGAGACCCTAAGCAACTTAGCAAAAGCCTATTTCAAAATTAAAAAATAAAATAAAAAGGGGTTGTGGGATGTGGCTCTGTGGTTAAGGGCCTGTGGGTTCAATCCCTAGTAACCCCCACCCCCCAAAAAATAGAAGTATGAAAAATCCATTTGTTGGGATTTGAAAACAGTATATAGGAAATACACTGTTTGCATAAAGAGGCTTTTAGAAATCCCTGCCTTCTGGGTGAAGGATCAATGGCAGTGGGCTGGACAGTAGCTTGACCAAACTTATAGGACTTTTCCTCCTGTGTCTTGCCTGTTCAGTGCAATGGCTCTGCTCTCATCTCAGAAGCACCCAAAGAAAAAAGTCAGGCATGAGTGCTCACTTTTGTGAAGTTCCTGAAGATCTGTTGGCAAAGAATTTCAAACAGAAGGTCACTGTGTGATAGCAATGTTTAGGGATAGCCATGGTAGTAATAATAATTAGAGAACTGTTATATTTATTATCAATCTCTTTTGGAAACTGTGATGGCACCTCTGAAACACTGTAAATGCAACATCTCAATCTGAAGAGAGAGGACAGTATTTTCTTTTGACCATACTTTGCCAAGACATCTGTTTAGATTTTTAAATAATGAGCCTATTTTCCTTGCTGATCACAAATATACCATAAGGAAAATGCATATTTCTTGGTTGTCATGGAAAACCACATTGTGTTTGTAAAACTGATATTTATCTTTGTTATAGAGGCAAATCAAACTTATTGGACATGGGCTCTTTGATGATCAAACCAATTCAGCGTGTGATGAAATACCCCCTGTTACTGTGCGAACTCCGGAATTCTACCCCTCCTTCTCATCCAGATTACAGAGCACTGGAGGATGCCTTTGCCGCTGTGAAGGACATTAATGTGAACATCAATGAATTTAAAAGAAGGAAAGATTTAGGTAGGAAAAATATGATGAATTGGGTGTTTTACATGACTGCTCTGTTTATATTCTGAAAAATCACATTGAGTGGTTACAGCAGTTGCAGTGAACAAGATCATTCGAAATCTAGACTCAGAGATTCGGGAGGAGAATGTGGTTTTTCCTCACTGGGTTCAGAAGATCGTGCACCACCACCAACAACAAAACCCCACCCCATCCCCCCCAAAATCATAACAGCTCTGCTCAACTACTCAGCCTCATTGATCTCTGCAGTCTTAGTGGTATATTGTGAACTGAAGATACCCCAAACATACCATTCTATCAGCGAAGGTCTGTGTGGTGAGAAGACATGACCAGGTACTATAGCCATGGGGAGGTAGTATCAGAATTGGTTGAAATAGGAACAGATCTGCATGAAGGAACCCATCTAGTTCTTTCATCTGGTCCTGCTACACAAAGAATGGAGATTTGGGGACAATAATTGCTCTTTTGATAGGAGCAAGTATATGTCTGACTAGAATCAATAAATGATTGTTAGCCATTTTTAAGCTAAGATATAAAATTAAAGTCTTATGTAAAATGTAAATTTCAAAACAGGAGATATTTCATAGTCCCTGTGTATTCCAGAGGTAGCAGTGGTTTGGATAGACCTGGGTCCTTCCCCAATGTGATTTCTTTCCATAAAGTTTTTCACTGACTTTTTAATTCTAATATGAAATCTCAATCTGACATTAAGCAATGGCAGTACTTTAGATCTCAATGACCCAACCAGTTTATTTGTTTTAAGTGATATAATTGTCTGGTAATATATTTATATTAATAAATTAAAATCATAAAGAAACATAGAATATAAGTGAAAGTTTAGAGTAAAAGGCTCCAAAAGTGAATAAAATGTTAGCACTCAAAGGATTACTGACTAGAATTTGTGATTTTTTATTTTTTTAATTTTTTTTAGTTGTCAACAGACCTTTATTTTACTTAGTTATATGTGGTGCTGAGAATCAAACCCAGGGCCTCACACCTGCTAGGCAAGCACTCTACCACTGAGCCACACCTCCAGCCCTGTGATTTTTAATGTCAAATCAAAAGTAAAAAGTCTAATGCAAAAAAGGTTAACAATAAAAATAAATTCACAGAAAGACCAAGTACTATTATAATCCTTGGCTTCACTAATCATTAGGAAATGAAAATTAAAATCACAATGACACACCACTCCAATCCAACAGATTGACCAAAAAAACCCATTTTTTTTTTACAGATAATGTTATGTGCTAAGTGCTGGATTTCAATCTGCAGCTGAGAACATAAATGAGAATCACCACCTCATTTAAAAAAGTTGACAGTATCTACTACAGTTGTAGATGTATACACCAGAGACCCAGAAAATAAATTTCTAGGAATTTTTCCTAGAGAAATTCTTGTCCATGGGCTCAAATATGTACTAGTTATAACACTGTTCATAAAATCATTTAAAAGTTTATATAATTATTCAGATTAATGGAGAAAGTATATTTTCCAGTATGATACCATGAAAAGATTATAAAAATTAATGAAATAAAACTATGTATAATTGCATTAATCTCAACAGCACAATCTTGAGTTTAAAAAAGTAACTTAGCAAGTGAGAGAAGAATATGTTCATATGTTACCATTTTTATAAATAATTCCATGTATTGTATCAATTCCACACATAATGCAGTAAAGGAATACAAAATAGATACCAAAATAATTCTTATCCATTATTTAGGCTAACAATTCCCTTTAAAGATCAAAGATGGGGATCAGGTTCAATTGTTAGGTAATTTAAAAAAAATAAAAAAGATTGGAAATGATTAAATGTTAATAATTGATATAGCTGGGAGGTTAAAAAAACTGTTGTTATGTTACTTTTTATATGTTTCTGTTTGCTTAAACTACTTCAAAGTCTTAAAGAGTAAAAGTTTCCCACTCCTGTGATTCCACTTTGTAAAGCAAACATTTTATTACATTTTCTTCAGATTCTCTCTTTTCTTCTTTTTTTGCTCCCAGCAGCATGAATGATGCTACAGTTTGCTTTTTGTTTCTTGAAACTTCATATCATTCTTCCAGCTTATATGCCTTTCTTGTTGGCTCCATAATATCCCAATTTTGAGTGTACCATCATTTGTTAAACTCCTGCTCTGTGAATAAGCATTTAGATTTTGTTTCCAATATCTCATTGATGGGGAAAACAAGTTGCAATAAATAGAACAAAATTTCGTATGTTTGATTATGGGAAGCAGATTTATCTGCATGAACCTTCCGGTCAGAGACTATAAATATTTTCATTTTTGTTAGATGCTACCATACTCTTTTCTACAAAAACTGCATTGGTTTAATCCTCATCAGCAGTGGATACAATTTTCCATCTTTCTACACCCTTACCAACATGGATGTTAGGAATATTAACATTTTGAACAACGTGAGGATTGAAAATGATTTGAAAGGTAAATAAGTAAAGCTCAGAGGTTATTCAACTTCCACCAAATCTCTCAGGGAGGGAAGAGCCCCTTCAGCTTCTGAGATTGCCTTATGATGAATGCAGTTGTCATCACTTAGGGCCAGAGTCTCCATCCTGGAGGCCTCAGATAATAGACATGTTATCTGAGAAGAGAGCTAAAGGTTTTTTCCTAGGATCGGGGATTTATTGAATGTGGGAGATAAATTCATCTTGGGCCTTGAGGACCCATGTACTTGAATGGGCTGTTTCTGAAGATCAGGAGAGTGGGGTGCCTGGGCAGGAGGAATAGAGCATATGGCGCCTGCAGAAGAGAATCAAAACCTATATAGATTTCTATCTTGAATATAAATATGGACTTTGAAAAAACTCTGAGTGAAACGTGTGCTGCATATGTTCAGATACGTCATCGCATCCTTCTTTTTTTTCAGTTCTAAAATACAAGAAGAATGATGAGGATGAATCTCTTAAAGACAAATTATCCAAACTAAATATTCATTCAATTAGCAAGAAATCAAAACGAGTGACAAATCACCTAAAGATTTTGACCAGAGGGGAATCACAGGTAATTTTTCTTTTTGGACCACCTACATTTCCCCAGGGAACATGAACACTGACATTTTTGTGGGGTTTTTGTTTTCTTGCTACCAGGGTTATATTGAGAATGTGGAGAATCAAAGTTAATTACCTTAAGCTCTTCCTTTTTTTCCTCTCCTGGGGGAAAACAGGATTCAGAGTATGGCTGGGGTAATTTTGACACTACCTTAGCTGTGATGCTTCCACTGCAGAAGCAAAGGAGAAAGAAGGACGTGAGGACATGGGGCACAGGGATGCCTCAGGAGTCCTGACACTCACAATCAACCAGCACAGAAGCTCCCTCAAGGCAATCTCCTTCCATCTCTACTTTATTTCTGCTTTTAAAAATCTCGCTTTCCTTTAGGATTCCCTTGATGTTCATTTTATCTTTATTTCATCTCTAAAAAAAAAAAGAAGGGTTTAGATGCATGAGTTAGTGCGATGTTTTCTTACCCCTTATCATCTGTCTCCCCACTCCCCAGGTGCATGTTGTATTCGTGGATAACTGTTCTTCGTCAGCTGTTTAGCCTGGCTGGAACCACTTTCATCTCAACTCCTAATAAATAATGGATGGATTAGCAAAGCCTCTTACACTTTAATGTGCTTAAGAAGAATTACCTGAGGAGCTTGCTGAAAGGCAGATTCTAGGCTTTCACCTGCTTCAAGGGTGCAACCTAGAAATCTGAATTTTTACAAATATTCCAGGTGTTTTGAAGCTAATGGCCTTGAAGTTAGTGATCAATGGAACACACTTTGAGAATCACAAGATAGAAGGCTCATTGTGGCACCACTGTATTACCATACAGTGGACTTTAGTTGAAATTAGGAAGCACAGTTCTTGGCACACTATATTTGACCTTATTTTTTTTCCTTCTCAATTTGCTTTTTTTCATTACTTAATATTTTAACATCTGTAAGATTGCTTTATTTGAACTAGAAGCAACTTTATGGCGGTTTAGCATTGGACTCAGATGGATCTATCTCACTATTTAGTTGCTGTGGTCTTTTTTCCTTCTTTCATTAAGTCTTTGTAGTAGAAGTGGCTTCTTCTTTCAAGTGTCTATTAAATCTGCTGTCTAGCTTGCAGTCTTGAAACTATTCATTTTGCAGGAGACAGCATAGGGCAGAAATTAAGAGCAAGGTCTTTGGAGTTATCTAAATCTTTGTTTGAACTTAATAAATTAAGTTCTCTACCACTTAATAAATATTTGTCTTTGGGCACATGGCTTAAATTTAATGGAATATCTGTAAGTTGGGGATTACACTAGTACTTGACACATGGAAAGGTTGTGACTGTTAAATGAATTGATTCATATATAAAGAATGCACCTAACAGTATATGCTGGCTGTCAAGATTAGCATAATCATCAGCATTATTGCTTTATATTGTTGTCTTATATTATTATTTGCCTTTGTTCAGCTGTCTTACTTCCCATGAGGGTGTAAACTCCTTTATATATGCTGTATTAATCAAGCTTTTTTTTTTTTTTACTTTCTGTATTTTATAATGTTTTGACATAAAATACCTTGCTGGTACTTTAGGAGAGACTTCCCCTTTCAGGGCTAGGCAATTCTTTTGAGAGCAAATAGCTGGGCAAACAACTCTCACTTGCAGATCACCCCATCCCATGGTTCCATTCACATCCTCACCTAAATCTTACACACTGAACTAATACTTCTCCTGCCCTAACTTATTCTACAGCTAGATGCAAAGTAAAGAGAGATCATTCCTATAACCCTTAGCCCATGGGAATTATTCAAAGCAACCAATCCCATTTAGTTTGTCCTGCTTTGTACTTCCCAAGAAAACCCCAATAAAGACTCTGGCCTAGACTCTCTCTTTACTCTTGTCTTCTGCCACTTGACCAAAACCTGGTACTTCCCCTGTGACCCTGTATGGCATGTGATGATCTGATCTCTGAGACCTGTTTCCAAGCCTTGTTCTCATTTTCTTTGGTGACTGCATTGACTTTACCATATGATAGCCAACATGCAATACCATAGTTAACATGTACATTTTTAGAATACATGGTTTGAATTCACTTCTTTCTATCCTTCTAGGGGCTCACCTGGTTGATTGTATATGGGAGGCCCCTCCTTTTGATATGGGAAGTTTGGACATTAATGGTGTATGGTAACAGATAAAGGAAAGGACAGTTAGAATGTTTCAAATAAGACAACAATAATAAAATCAAATTGGGAATTTATTTAAGAAGAGATTATTGTGCCCTATAGGCATATATACATTTAGTATAAACAGTTCTTTTCCACTCTTTGGGATTTTATTTCTGACTCAAGACAATTCTATTGAGAAACAATAGGGGAAGTTCTAATTTGGGGCAAGCTTTTAAAATATTCTTTAGCATATTTATCATCAGCTTCTTATATTTTTCAATTGTGAACTAAAAGTGAATTGTAGTTAAAGTCGCCTGAAGGGATATTAATTAGATTTTCCTCCTTAATCTTTTTAGAGGATGTCCTGTCAGCAATGAAGCATTTCACTGTTAATCAGAAAATCAGCTGCATAGGCTGGACTGGAGAAGAGATAAATCTCAAATCAATCAATTTTGCACTTGTCAGCAGCTCAGGTGAAATATTGGTAGAGTTAGGGTTTAAAGCTATTACCCAAGAGGAAGATTCTATTCAATTCATCATACATGTATTGAACTCTCATGTACCATGCACTGTATAAGAGATTGGGAATACAAAGATGAACAGGTGTAGGTTCTGAATTCAGACTGCTTGGGTTTGAATATTGATCTTACCTATAAACATGGGTAAGTTTCTCTAACCCCTTATGTTAGGATAAAGGCTATGCATCTGTCACAGAGAGATTCCAAAGCATAGTAGCTGAAGTCAGGTAGCCATTTATTTCTTTCTGTAATTAGAGTCTTGAGATGTGAGCAGACAAGCTCTGCTTAATAAGATCCTTCAGGAATCCAGTTTATCCAATTCAGCACAGTGCTTTTCCTAAACACATTGTCTCATCTGCCTGGTTGAGGCTAGGTCATTGCCATGTCTTCATTCAAGTCCCAAGGACAATGTTGCAAGGCTAAGACTTAGAAATGAAACACTGCTTCACTCACATCCAGTCATCCAAACAGTTACATGGGTTGAGCTAGCTGCGAGGAAATCTTGGAACTGTCTCAAGTAGGTCAGCCATGTGTCCTACTTAAATGAGAGGTGTGGGTTCTATCAGTAAAAGGACAATGGAGAATGTCTGTTGACATTCTGCCACCTTCTGAAGCTGCTTATTTATCTCTAAACTGGTATTTATCATAATAGCTAACCCATAGTATTGTATAAATATTAAAATGAGAAGGAGGAATTAAGGCATAGTGAAATTCATCAGAAGAGAGAATTATGTAACTAATTAATTAGAGTTACTAGAGCACACAGGAGGGAGAAATTAATTTTCTACAGTGGGAAGAAGAGCAATGGAAGGACAACTCATGGAAGTAGTCACATGTGAGCTAGTTCTTAAAAATAAACAGAATGTTTTATAAGGGAGAAAAAGGACAGCAACATATTCCAGCAAAACAGCACAAGAAAGGATTGGTTATGGGGAAGTAGAATTGGGCAATATTTCTCACAGTGTGATCCTTAAATCTCCCTCTTTAGAGTCATCTGGTTCCAGCCAAGATATACAAAATAAAATATCTGGCAATGTGACCTTGGAAACTGACTTTAAGACTACCTGGCCCAGCATATTGTTATACACACCAAACTGAGTTGGATCTTGTGTGAATGGCAAAGGACTCTATTACCTATTTGTTCAAAAGTTTTCTAGATCAACAATATTAAGAGGTTTAAAAATAAAATGCTATGATTTCTATTTATACAGCTCTAAGGTCAACTATCTGAAATCAAGAAACATAGGAACCAAAACAGCTACAATTATTGTCTAGTGCCTAACTGAGCAAGAGTCACCCTGTTCTATGGAACATTTGCATGTTCACATGACTTTCACCAGTCCAGAGACTGGTTCTGATCTTGTCTTATAGACATTTTGATTGCTAAGAAATAGCAATGAGGGCTGGGACTGTAGCTCAGTGGCAAAGTGCTTGCCTCACATGGGTGGGGCACTGGGTTTGATCCTCAGCACCACATAAAAAATTAATAAAGATATTGTGTCCATATACAACTAAAAAAAATTTAAAAAAAAAAACACACCTAAAAAAAAGAAAGAAATAAATAGGGCTGGGGATGTGGCTCAAGCGGTAGCGTGCTCGCCTGGCGTGCAGCCCGGGTTCAATCCTCAGCACCACATACAAACAAAGATGTTGTGTCTGCCGAAAACTAAAAAATAAAGATTAAAATTCTCTCTCTCTCTCTGTCTCTCTCTCTCTGTCTCTCTCTCTCTGTCTCTGTCTCTCTCTTTATAAAAAAAGAAATAGCAATGAGCAGGGGTTCAAAAAACAAACACCAGAAGCATATAAAAAACAGACTTTTCTGAATGCTAATAGATATTACATGTAGGGTGACAAAAATTAACTGAATTGATGTGACCACCACCATCACTATGAAAATTTATTATTACAGAGAAACTAAGATTATATATCATCTTTCAAATTAAAAGTGATAATTATTACAGTTCTTTAACCATGGACTGAGGATTACTTTCTAAATAAACTGGTGTGAGTCTTCTGAGCAAAACAATACATTTTAGTCCATAGATCAAATTTAGCTATTTTATAAACCCACAAAGTAATATAATTAAAAACTTCAGGGAAAATTCTTATAATTTTACAACTATTGTGACATAGTTGAAGCTGTGTGAAAATCAACGAAGCTGAATCACATGGCTTTGCAACACTGGTGGCATATCAGATGTGCAGTGTGCCCATCCGGGAAGTACTGCATTACAATAGTGGGCTATCACAGAAGGTTTCAATACAAGCAAGAACTTTTGTGTACTGTGCTGGACCAATATGACCTATCCTATTTGGTTTTTTTTTTTTTTTCAAATATCAGATTCTTTTGAATTATGAAAATAAATAATTTCATTTGTATTTTAGGTGAAAGATAATACCTTTAACAGAGAAGAAAAGCTGTTTAGAGCTTTAGAGAAGACTGTGAGGCACTGTGCAAAGAATATTTCATTCTGTCTCCAACACATACAGGTAGGTGAGATACAAGTTGTTGATGTTCCTTCCAGAATGCACTAATTTCCGTGGTTTCTATGAGGAGTGTGACTGTTCATTCATTTGTATAATGACACTTACTGTATCAAATTGGGAAGACTGCAAAGTGCTGTGAGGGAGGCCAGGACAAGGATCTGGGTTCTGCTCTTTGACCCCCTATTTGCTCCATTCTCCCCTCAACCCAAATTGCCCTGTTAGGGGTCTTGCTCAGATGATTGCCCCATGGACCACAAGCATTTTTTTTTTTACAATAAAGATGACATCATTAACTCAAAATTGTGCATTGGGCAGAAAGTTTACTTATTTGTCTGATTTTACTAATCTCTCTTCCTAATACCTAAAGTAAGTATAAAAATCAATATAAAAGAGAATAAGTTGAACTACAAAATAATATGCAGTACAATAATCAAAAGCTCTTACACAATTATACCAGAAAACAAAAACATCTCCGAAAATTTCTAGTCCTCTAGGAGGTTGTTCTGACCCTCTTGAGAATCACTGACTTCAACAAACTCCTGTTGGAGTATAGCATGATTATTCTCAGTAGCAAGGCCAGTCAGGAGATTCTCCTAATGGATCTTAACGAGGAAGAGGACACGGTGTCCTAAGCAGCATCTTGACAGTGGTTATGACTATAAAACACAGGAAATTAGTGGAGTTCCATGTAAATCAGTTAATAAATGGCTCCCTTCCTTTTCCAGAAACGTATTCTCTTGCTTATCTGTTTTTGAAGTAGATGCTTGCACACTGAGATGAAGTATGACACCAGCTGAGGGTTAAGGTGACCAGCACACTGATTTGGAGACAGAGTTCCATGTTCTGTAGTAAGAGCACTATTCTGTTTTTATTTATTGTCTGAGACAAATCCTGATTTTACAATTAGGTTTGCTAATTTCTTTCTAAAGCACTGCCTTCTGTGAAAAGGAAACCAAAACAGTTATAACAGCTAGAGGGCAGAGGGGACTGTCCTTTGTGTACTTTTACATATCCTTTGAGTAAATGTCTCTTGGGAACATTTACTGGAAAATCCTGTATTTTAACTGATTGATTCAACAAAAAAAGCGAGAAATCTTCTCTTAAAGAGAGCGTTAAATTCACTAAGGAAAAATGATGATTATATCAAAGAGCAGTGATTTTTAAAACAAGCAATCTGTGAATCAAATGCTAAAGAATGGCCAATAAGAACTTCTATGAATCAACAAGGACATTATACAGAATATTATGAAAAAGTGTTGGGGGAGAAGGAGGAAGAGAGATTAAGTAACCTGATTGTACAAAATATTCACAAAAGTTTCAGTTTTCCCCTTTTTTTAAAAAAAAATAATTTTTTTAGTTGTAGTTGAACACAATAACTTTATCTTTTTATTTATTTGTTTGTTTGTTTGTTTATTATGTGGTGCTGAGGATCAAACCCAGCACCTTTCACATGATAGGTGAGCTCTCTACTGCTGAGCCACAACTCCAGTCCCCCTTTTTTTTCCCCTTTGATCTCTCAGAAGAAATAATGTTGACATTTGCATTGGATATACATTTATTTGTAATAACTTCAGAACTTACCTTGTTGTTGGGTTTCAGGATGCCATGCCTATCGCTCTCCAGAGTGTGAGGGAGCTCCAGGAGATTTCGTACAACAAAGATGAGGAGGAGGTGGGCTATTCAGAGACTCTGAGTAATGCTCCAAATCCCTGTCATGACTTTGTAAGTTATTTATATTCATAGGAAATACAAGTTAAATAGTGAGGCTAAAAAGAAATGCTGATTTCCATTTCTTTTTTCCAGAGTGAGAAATAAAATATGCACTAAAGCAAATACTAATGTTAAAATTAGGAGATTTTAATAGGGATTTTTAAAAAATTAAATATTTCTAAAGTGGATTAGTTGAGGATTTTACTATAATTGAAATTTAAGACAACTCTGGACTGTGTTCCTAGCAGTAGTTAGTGCCTATGTAGCTTTTAGAATCAATATTTAGTTGGAGTTTGCATATATTATATCAAGGATTTATTAAGTTGGAAAGCTATGATTTTCTTAACGTATCTCTAGAAATGTCATGTCCTTTCAGAGGGAGCACAGGTATTTTCTGAGGATGTGATTCTTACTAACAGGATACACACTTGACAGCAAAGTTTTCTTTCTGCTTAAGAGTCATGTGTAATTTTCTTCTTTTCCATGATAAAATATTTCTTTTCTAAGAGTTCTATAAAATATATGCTGGGAATCATAAAAACATGCTTGAGTCAACGAAATATTTGGGTGGTAATCTAGTCTAGGTAATACAAATTTTAATTAATGTCTTGAGTTTCTATGGTTATTAATATGTCATAGTATATTTCAAGTATTCTATAGAAGATATAATAGATTCCACCATATTGAAGGTGAATTTTTTGCATTGGTGTAATTTGCACTTTGGTTCACATAAATCTTCAAAGAGGCTCTTGTATGGGACAATGTTTAGCATTCCTAGCTCACCAGCCTCAAAATATCAATAACATCCCCCTATGTCAAGTCACAGTGATAATCAAAAAAAAATATGAATAAAAAAAATGAATAGCTCCACATATTTCCAAACCCTAGGAAGTGATACACTCCTCACCCCACTAGAAAACAACATAAAAGCACCTTGCATTTCTGGCATTAGGAAATGAAAAGTCAGGATTACATCAGCAAATATACATGATACATATACATGATACATGATAAATATACATGATCCATAGATAAGTTGCTCATGGATGGGTGGGTGGATGGATGGGTGAGTAGAAGGATGGATGAGTGGATGACAGAAGTTTTTAAATCAGAGATTTAATGGGAAAAGCATGGGTAGTTTTCTATGTATTTTCTGGGTTTAATTACAGAGAGAACATTTTAGAAAAGACCTAAGGGTTTGCTCTTTAGGTTAATTCAAATCCATTAAGTCAATAAATATTTATTGAGCACTATCTGAGAGCATGGTAGTTTCTCCTTTAGCAAGCCTGCTCCAAAATTCAAAATTTTGTAATTATATTACCTGTAGAATCTGGTCATTTAACAAACAGTAATTTATACCAGATATAGTAAACAGATTCTTAGTCAAGAGACTCATTAAACAGTATGCAGTTTTGCAGTTGTATATTGATTATTTTATAAAGTAGACATCAAATCTAATATGTGTTGGCTCTTGCTAGTGCCAATAAGAGATTGGTTCCCCTCTCTTTTAGATTTCCCATGAGTTCAGATAAAGTTATCAGGGGGCTTTTAAATTAATTAATACAGATTGCTGCTCAGATGTGGATTCTCTGGGACCTCTTTGGGGGTACGGAAGAAAACCTGCTACCAAATTATTCTAATGTAGTCCTGTAACCTAAGTATATAGAGTAAAGTAGGTTTTTTTTTTTTTTTTTTTTACATTTGACCAAAATAATTGATATAAGCAACTTAGAGGAAGAAGTATTTTGGCTCAAGGTTTTAGAAGTTTCAGTCCATGATTGTCCAGCTCCACTATTCTGGGTCTGGGATGAGGCAGAACATAATAGCAGAAGAGCATGGCAGAAGAAAACTGCCTAGCTCATACAGCCAGAGAGAGAGGGTGGGGGGACTGGAGCAAGATTGTCCCCAAGGGTACACTCCCAGTAACCTCCTTCCTCCAGCTGTGCTCTGCCTACCTATAGTTTACATCACCTCCCAGTAGTCCACTCAGGTATCAATGGGTTAATCCACTGATGTGGTCAGAATCCTCATAATCCAATCACTTCTCAAAAGCCCCACCTCTATACCCTCCTGCATTGGGGACCAAATTTTCAACACAATAAATTTGAGGGACATTTCAGATCCAAACTATAACATAGGGCAATCAGCAAACATAGGATACTAGTGTGTTTCAGAATAGAGAAATAGAATAAATTAAATCTAGGGTGCTTCAATGCCAACACAGGATTGGGAATGAATTCAAAGATTATTTTTTATGATTCAGAGCTAAAAAGGTAACAATTTAAGATACAGGGACCAGCACCAGTTTTAATGTATTTAAATAAGGAAGTGTATATCTCTGGTCATTTCTGTCACAGGAGTAAATACCCATATTAAAGTGCTGTTATCTGTATGGGGGATGCAATTCCACTACCAAAAATAAAGTCTTCAGAGTAATTAGGGATTTGGGACCACCTTGGGGGGAGTATGTTACAGTCTCTTCTAAGACCACAACTTTTGCTGTCACCAAGTTGTCACAGTGATATGGTGAATCATTCATTTCTGGTAGTCAAAATTTGGTGATTAACCTCATCCCCCATGTGTGAAATAGCTCAGGTTGGCTCTGGGATAAGAAAGAAGGGGAAGTGGGCAGTGTTCTGGTGACAAAACCAAATGGCTTCAGAAAGAAAGCTGGAGTTGGATTTTGGGTGACCAGGTGTTTTGTATTCCTCTCCTGGCTCACTCTTCATGTTCCATGTTAGAGTCTTTGTTTTAAGTCCTTGAAAAGGTTTAGCTAGAGACAAAAATGATGAGTTTCTCTTCTAACGTGGATAGAGGCTGCCCTGGTTCCTTTGTGCTCCTGCGGAGAGGAGGCAGGCTACCCAGATCAATGCTGGATGTGGTATGGGCTATTCCCTTCTCTGTAATGGGATCATCATTTCTTTTGACAGGCATCTCACTTGCAGAGACTCGTCCTGAACCCCCTGTCAGCCCTGCTGTCCTTATTCCCAGGACCTCAGAAGCTCATCCAGAAACGCTATGACAAACTGTTAGACTACAACAGCTACCTGCAGCGGTCAGCAGGAGATGAGTCAGACTTGGCCAAAAAGGAATATGAAGCCCTCAATGCCCAGCTGGTAGAAGAGCTCCAGGTGTTCAACCAGGCTGCCCGGAAGATTCTGTTGAACTGTCTGTGCAACCTCATCACCCTCCTCAGGGACCTGATGCATGCAGCACAACAGGCTTATTCCACAGTTGTGCCGGTAAGCACAGTACCATCACCTGGCCACCTTGGCCTCCCAGGTCTGTTAGGAACCACACCTATGAGAAAGCAGCCCTGTTCCAAGAGTGCATGTGTGTGTGTGGTCTTCGTGTATATGTTATTTAAGAACAGTTAGTCAGATGCTCTTCTCCTCCTTGATCCCCACTTTGGATCAGATAATTTTTAAAGGTACTTCAGTTTCTGTTTTAGGTTATCTGGGCACATCTTTCACGTTGTAGTCCATAGTAAAACAGAAGCACAGAGATTTTTTTTTTTTTTTTTTTTGCTAATGTACTAAAGAAGTGAAAATCACTTTGGGGATATTTATCCTCACTCAACTGGTTTCATTCTATAGTATATATGTAATATATATATATATATGTATGTATTTAAACTTTATGTTTTGAGATATAGAGTTATATGTAGTTATAAGAAATCACAGAGATCCTGATACTCCACAATTCCCCAATGGTAACATCTCTCATGATTATGTCTATATTACTGAAAGGCAGAAATGAATAGTGATTAGAGAATTGTCTCTGGCACTAGAATAATAATAATAGCATATAATTTTGAATTTTTTTTCCGGGGATTGAACTCAGGGGCACTCGGCCACTGAGCCACATGCCCAACCCTATTTTGTATTTTATTTAGAGACAGGGTCTCACTGAGCTGCTTAGAGCCTCACTGTTGCTGAGGCTGGCTTTGAACTCGCAATCTTCCTGCCTCAGTCTCCCTGGCTGCTGGGATTACAGGAGTGTGCCACCACACCTGTCCATTTTGAAATTTTAATTGTGGTAAAAATATAATGGATTTACCATCTTAACCATTTTTAAGTGCAGAGTTCAGAAGCATTAAGTATATTTCCATTGTTATGCAATGCAGTGCCAAGACAGTTTCATCTTGCAAAATTGAAATATACCAATTAAACAAGTCCTCATTTCCCCCCTGCCCCAGTTCCTGGAAGCCATCATTCTACTTTCTGTTTCTATGAATTTGACTCCTTTAAATACCTCATATAAATCAAATCATAGTGTTTGTCTCCTTGTGACTGGCATATTTTATTTAACATAATGCCCTTGTTATGGTTTGTGTATGAGATGTCCCCCAAAAGCTCATGTGTGAGACAATGTTAGAATGTTAAGAGGTGATATGATTAGGTTATAAGAGTTGTAACCGAATGAGTGGATTAATCCACTGATAGAGATTAACTGGGTTGTAACTGTAGGCAGGTAGGGGGTGACTGGATGAAGTAGGTCACTGAGGGCATGATTTGGGGGTTTATATTTTATCCCCGGTGAATGGGGCTTCTCTGCTTCCTGGTTACTATGTCCTGAGCTGCTTTCCTCTGCCACACTATACTGCCCTGATGTTCTGCTTCACTTGGGCCCACAGCTATGGATTGTTAGACCATGGACTGAACCTCTGAAACCAGGAGCCAAAATAAACTTTTGTTTCTTTAAGTTGTCCTTGTCGGGTTTTCTGGTCATAATAATGCAAAAGCTGACTAAAATAGCCCTCAAGGTTCATTTAGTTTGTAGCATGTGGCAGAATTTTTTTTCTTTTTAAGTCTGAATAATGTTCCATTGTATGTAGATACATTTTTGTTTATTCATGCATTTTGTTTATTCATGGCTGTTTCTTTCTCTTGGATATTGTGAAAAATGTTACAGTGATAATGGGTGTGTAAAATCTCTGTAAGATCCTTACTTTTGATTATTTGGGATATATATATATGCAGAAGGGAGACGCTCAATCATATAGAAACTATTTTTAATGTTCTGAAGAATCCAAAGTCCTATTTTTTTTTCATTTTCATTTTTATCAATTATGCATGCACATAATTTAAAGATTCAAGTAGTTATTTAAGTTTGGCCAAGAAAAACAGTTGTCCTTCATTCCCTTTATTCTATTTCTTCTTCCTCGGGGACAACTATTTTTCAATTCTTTTAGGTGATTCTCTTGGTATTTACTTTCATATTTTAAAATAAGATTTTATTTTGCCATTTCATTATTTTTCACTTTTAGGCATAATGTATTCCACTATGAAAAATGAGAACTTAGCCCTCTTTTTTATGTTCTCACAACATATATATTCACAGAAGATCTTGCTATGGAGCTCCAGTAGTTTTACCATAAATTTGGCTATGTTTACATGCTGTTTCAATTGTTTAACTTATGTATCAGTCATCATATTAGTATAAAAAAACCAGAACACTCAAATTGATCATTTGGAGAAAAATTAATAAAGGGATTATTTACAAAAATGTGAGATTGCTATGGGTAAATCCTTGCAGCCAGTGTTCTGCCCCAAGGGTAGCAAAAGAGAGGAGCCATATAACACCTAGGTTTAAATGGATAAGGGAAGAGGTTGGCATAGGAATGGACAAAGAGAGGGATGTGCACAGGACTATCTGATAGGTCTGTGTGGTTCAGTTAATACTATAGAAAGAAAATTTAGGAAATAAATATCCTTATCTCCATTCCTTTTCTCATTCTGATTTCCTGTGTGTACTCTTCATTGATTGAACCCATCTGAAAACCAGAGTGCAACATTGTTTTATTGTTGTTATTGTTATTTATTTGATTGTTTGGTACTGGGGATTGAACCTGGGGGCTTTTAACCACTGAGCCATATCCCCAACCCTTTTTATTTTTTTTATTTTAACACAGAGTCTTACCAAGTTGCACAGGACCTGCTAAATTGCTGAGGCTGGCCTCAAACTTGCCATCTTCATGCCTCAACCTCCTGAGTTGCTGGGATTGCAGGCACGCACCACCACACCCAGTGACCTGTTGCTTTTTAATTCTGATGAGACTCTTGCACATAGAGCAGGGTAGAAAGGAAGGAGAATAAATTTGAAGATGTACACAGATACCCAGCACACAAAGTGAATGCTGGTTAGCTACACAGAACACCACAATTAATTTTTCTTTCATGTATAGCTTTTTTTTTTTCTGAAGTTAGTAATTGTTTTTCTTTTGCCAGTTGCTTCATTTTTCTTTGTCTAATTTTATCTCTCAATTGACTAACCTTTTAGGATTTTCAAATGTGTGTGGTATTCTATAAATTGTGCCTTCTTGCAGAAATCTCTCCCAGTGCTTTCTGATCTGCTCCAATCTGAACTGCCCTTCTACCCGTAATCCTGGGATCATACCTCATCATCATTCTAAGGGACCCCTTCTTCTCTATTCTGTGTGGGATCCCAATTCCTTATTTTATGATGCCATGTTGACTTATTCCTTTATGCCCTTATCTGGGGAGAAGTGTATTTCTGAGTGGTTCTCTGAAAAAAAATGATTGGGAGATGAATATTTTGATACTTTGTATACCAGAAAAATGTCTTTTTAATATCATCATGCTTCACTGATGGTTTCCATGGATGTAGAAGTTGTTCTTTGTGCATATGAAAACATTACATTGTTCTATATTATTCTAGCTTCCACTGTTTCGCTGAGAATTGTACAACCCAGTCCGATTCTTGGTTCTATGTACGTTCTAAGTGTGTATGTCCTCTCATTGGACCCTTTGGAAGCACCTAGGAATTCCCCATCTGAAATTTTGGACACTTGGTGGGATCCTTTTAACATGAAAATTCTGCCTCTTCTAGAAACTTTTTGAAATTCTCAATTTCAAAATCATTCAATTTCCATTTCCTTGATGAAATTCAATTTTGTTGATGATTTTTTCTTTCTTTGCTCCTTTTTTCTGTTTCAGAACCTCCTAGATTGTTACCTCTAAATTTATTATTTTTTCTCACTTATTTTCTATCTCTATATCTTTTCTCAATCTCTTATGAAATTTTCCTACTTTAGTCTTCTAACCCATCAATTATTTCCTTTTATTTCTGCTCTTATTTTAATATTCAAGGGCCCTTTGTTTTCTTAAAATTAAGACAAGTTGCTTTTCTATTTATCAGATTCCCTCATATTAGAGGCATGCCTGGGCTGTCTAATGATCTGTTGACCACTGAAAAAGTTGAGGACTAAATGACACCCTTGAGCCCGTAGGTAGTTGAAAACTGTGTTTCATGACTGTGTAATCTGTCATTTCAATTGAGAACCCTTCATAATAGGTTCGTTAGGTCTTTTTCCTCTCATACTGGTCAGAATACCCACAGACAGTTCTTCAAGTCTTCTGTCTGCAGGGAAGCAGTGTGATTTCTAAGGTTGGTGGTAGGGAAATGGAAAAGGGTTTCAAGGTCAGCGTACATCTGTTTCTTATTTTCCATCTTTCCAATATGGGTCCCCTATCCTTGTTAATGCATAGTGTCACTCATTCTAGAGACTGTTTTACCATTTGCAGAAAAAGAATCTTCATCTTCTGCCAAGGAAGGGAAGAGATAATCATTCAATTTCACTGAAATGGGGCTTAAATTAGATTACACCAAACATGGTACTATTATAGTTCATGGTTTCAGGGATTCACTGTGGTCATTCAGTTTGGATTGGAATAGCTGGGGTTCCAAGGGGAGTTCCCCCCACTCTCTCTCATCTTTTACTGTGGTCTTCTTACATGGTGGCCATAGAGAAGATGGACTTCTACAAAGTGAGTGAAGGTTTCCAGAGTGAGTGTCCCAAGAATACCAGCATAAACTGCACGACTGTTTCTAGTCTAATCTTTAAAGTCAGACAGCATCATTTCCATGGCTCTGTTCTTTTCAGCATCCTATTCACTGAGGTCACTGTAAAGACCCACTTATCACTGAGGGTGAGGCTTATTGGAAGAGCCCTTGCCTAACAAGAACAAGGTCCTTGGTTGTAGTCCCAACATCCCACACATAATAAAACAACCATAAAGATCCACCTGGTTTTGATAGGCAGGAACCTAGACTCTACATCTTGATGGGAAGCATGTCAAGGGATCTGCTGATTTGTTTAAATCTTAGCACAGACACTCAATTAGTGCTTCTTATCTTGGACTCATTTCCCCTGCCACTATACTACTCCACTGTGTGGGAGATTTGTACCACCATGAATTCTTATTTTTATTATTTATTTTTAAATTTTTAAAAAATTAATTAGTTATACATAATAGTAGGATGCATCCTGACACATCATACATAAATGGAGCATAATTTCACATTCTCCTGGTTGTACATGATGAAAAATCACACTGGCCATGTAATCATATATGTACACAGGGTAATAATGTCTGATTCATTCTACTATCCTTGCTACCCCCATATTACCTCCCCTCCCTTCACTCCCCTCTGCCTAATCCAAATTACCTCTATTTTCCCTAGCCCCCTATTGTGAATTAACATCTGAATATCAGAGAAAACATTCAGTCTTTGGTTTTTTGGGATTGGCTTATTTTGCGTAGCATATTCTCCAGCTACCTCCATTTACCTGCAAATACCATAATTTTATTCTTCTTTAAGAGTGAGTAATATTCCATTGTGTATATAGACCATATTTTCTTTATCCAAACTAGGTGTTGAAGGCACCTAGTTTGGTTCCATAATATGCCTATTGTGAGTTGAGCTGCTATAAACCTTGATGTAGTATGCTGATTTTAAGTCCTTTAGGTATAAACTGAGGAGTGGGACAGATGGGTCAAATGGTGGTTCCATTCCAAGTTTTCTGAGGAATATCCATACTGTTTTTTATAGAATGGTTATACCAAGTTGCAGTCCAATCAGTTATGTATGAGTGAATCTTTATCCACACATCCTTGTCAACATTTATTTTTGCTTGTATTCTTGATAATTGCCATTCTGAGTAGAGTGAAATGAAATCTCAGTGTAATTTTAATTTGCATTTCTCTAATTGCTGGAGAAGTTGAACACTTTTTCATATATTTTTTGACCATTCGTATTTCTTCTTCTGTGAGTCTCCATTTGGTCCTTTTCACATTTATTGATTGGGTTATTTGTTGTTTTTTTTTTTTTGGTGTTAAGTTTTTTGAATTCTTTATATATTCTGGAGATTAATGCTCTGTCTGATATGCAGGTGGCAAAGATTTTCTTCCCTTCTGTAGGCTTTCTGTTTATGTTCTTGATTGTTTCCTTTGCTGTGAAGAAGCTTTTTAGTTTGATGTCATTACATTTATTGATTCTTAATTTTATTTCTTGTGTTTTCAGAGTCTTGTTAAGGAAGTCAGTTCCTAAGCCTATATGATGGAGATTTGGGTCTACTATTTCTTCTAGTAGGTGCAGGGTCTCTCCACTATTAATTCTTGAGCCTTTGTTCCATGACTTTGTTGCTTATTTTTCCTCCTCCTCCTCCTCCTCCTCCTCCTCCTCCTCCTCCTCCTCCTCTTCCTCTTCCTCCTCCTCCTCCTCTTTCCCTCTTCTGTTCTCCTTTTATTTAGACTTGAAATAGATATATATATATATATATATATATATATATATACACATATATTCCTATCATTTTCACAGGGTTTCTAGATATGGCAAATTAGATTATCCTTATGCAAAAGTTCTAGAATCGCCCTAATTTTTCACTATGAGCTCTCTTACACTTTCTCAAATGCTCATTGCAACTCTGGTAAATTTAACTCCTAATATGGTTATATAGCTGTCTGGAAATAATGCTGTATCATTTCTACCATAGGCACCACTGTTAGTCTCAAGCATCTCTGAGATTCAGAATCGAGTACTAGAAGAGGTTCACAATCTGAATTTTGTAAAGGACAATAGTGCCACCTTTATTGAGAGGAAACTCAGTTTTGAAAAGAAGAAGCCTGTGCCGGTTCTGGTGAGTATAGCAGCATCCATGACTGTTAAAATATCACTACTTCACTTTGTCCAAATCATAGTATCATATTATTTTTCTTATCACTAATTTAATTCTAATCTTATAATTTGTTCATTATGTTTAAATTTCTTCTCTATTTCTACCCTGTATACTAAATATATTCTATAGCCTTTGTTCTATGACTTTGTTATTCCATAAAATCATGGATTTGGGTTTCTGTTTTGCACATAGCATATCCCTAAAATGCCTAAAATGGTGCTTGACACAAGGTAGGCACTCTAAATATTTGTTTACAAGTATTTTAGAGGTAAATCATGTAATCCAACCCTTGCATTTTCAAGCTAAGGCACCCTGGGTTCCAGAGATAAAGTGGTTTTCTCAAAGTCACTTAATGGGCTGGAGCTTGGAAGGGGTCTATGGCTTCTTACTCCTGCTGAATTTACTGCTATTTTCTAGAAAAAGACAAGCAAGTGTGCAATTTATTGAATGAAATATTATTTATCAAGTGCTTAATATAGCAAGAGTTAAAATGTTGATCAGAAAATACCAAAGGGTTAAAATGTTCTTCAAGAGGGATTAGAACCTCTGCCTCCTGATTTTTCAAATGAATTTTCTTTCTTTTCTACAACACTGCCCTCCTGTGCTTACTAGAGAATTTTTCGCTGCATGACTTACTGGAGCACTCGACAATAAGAGCCTAATCTAACACTTCACCTTGAAATAAGCCCCAATCAGTATATGTTTTTAAAGAATCTATAGAGAAAAATGTTACGAATCTACTGAGGATTTCATTATACATCCATATAAAACAAATATTCTCCTTGCTTTTCCCAGCCAGAAGTGCCACGTCAAACTGACATTCATCGCTCCAAACTTCTGTCCACATACAGTGCAGAGGAACTCTACCAAGCTAAGCGCAAGTGCAATGCCACACAAGAATATGACATCAACCTTTTGGAAGGAGAGTTGGTAGCTGTGATGGAACAGAAAGATCCACTGGGGAGTACTAGCAGGTGGCTTGTTGACACAGGAAGTAAGTTTTTCTCCAGAATTACCACCCTTCCTCAGGTTGAGATTTTTTTCCCAATGGTGTTTGTGTGCTTCTCTAAACCCAGGCATTTGGGAACAGTATGCACTTGACATTGGTTCTTCTTTCTTTTTATTTCCTACCCAGTTGTAAAAGGATATGTGTATTCCTCCTTCCTAAAACCGTACAATCCAGCAAAAGTGCAGAAGGCTGATGCTGAGAACAGGTTCTGTGACGATGATTTTGACATCAGCCTCTTTGTGTCTTCTCGGCCAGCTAGTGACAGTGTCACAGGTACCCCAGAAGGCAGCATAAGTGATAGCAGCTCATCTCTTAGTGGCACCTGTGGAAAGTTTGAAATAAACGGCACTGATGTTGACAGCTTTCAAGAGGTAGATGAGCAGGTAAGAATTTGAACCTCAATGAAAAAATAGGCTCTTCAAAACTTGAACGAATCTCTAAATGCTCACTATTTTACTGTAAGACTTGATAGGAAAGCGCCAGCATTGCCATCAAAAAGTCCCAGCTCTATTAGTGGGTACTCTCTGTGGACTGTTTTGCAAAGAATTTAATTCTCTGAGCCTGTTTCCTCAAATGAAACAAAGAGGACAATGATTCCTATGTTGCAGAGTTGATGTTTTAGAGATAATGTGTGTGTGTAAAGTACCTAGCAGAGTAGACACTCACTCAATAGTAGCTGTTGCTGTTACAACTCTGTTGTTATGTACTTAAAGTGAAAATGCACTTTGTACACCCCTCCATTAGAGAAATGCAGTTCAATGCTGAACAGATTGTGACCATTAATAGCATGTAGGAAATTGTTCCTGATTCCTCTAAAAGCAACATCTTCATTGAGCTATCTAGTAATTGGCCATTTTTAATCACTTGTATATGCCATATACTACATACTGATACTTTTAAGGGCTACTTGTCCCTCATTGCACTGATGCAAAGGCTACTGGTATAATCCTATCACGAGATGGTATGTTAACTATAATGTAGGATTCATTTTTGCTTCAGTATAAAGTTTCAGTATATTTCACTGTTAATTCTCAGTTGGTGACCAGCTAATTCTTATTCAACTTGTTTTTTTTTTCTTTATTGACTTTTTATTAAGTAAAAAAACATCTTTTATATAGGGGTGATAAAATTTACTTTTGAAAAGTTAAAATAGTCAGAAGAAATATATAAAGTAAAAGTAAAGGTCTTAATTGCTTTCTTACTCCTACTCTTCAGAGACAATATTTATGTATAACTTTTCAGACATATTCAATGTATATACAAATACATATATTTATACAAGTAAGAAACATATCATGTGTGTTACATATTTTTTCTACTTAAAAAATAATATATCAGGGCTGGGTTTGTGGTTCAGTGGTAGAACACTTGCCTAGCATATGTGAGGCCATGGGTTTGATCCTCAGCACCACATAAAAAATACATAAATAAAAGTATTGTGTCCATCTACAAAAAAATAAATATTTAAAACAATAAATAATATATCATAAACTATATCTAATTAGCTTAATTTTTTCCTTAAAAAACTCTCCATAGTATTTTATTTTATAGAATAAGTCATATATGGAACTCTCACCCTAACAAAAAAATTTAGAATCTTTTAGGAAAGATTTTAGGAACGTTCTTTTTCACCTGTTTTGTGCTCTTTTGTGAACATATCTATGAGAAAAATCCTTAAAAATATAGGAGGGTCAGAGAGTATATATAAAACCTTAGAGACATTGCTGTACTGCCCTCCAAAAATATTTTATGTATTCTGTTTATTCCATTTACAGTGTAGATTGCTGTTCAATTCATGACTTTTCCTCCAAAATAGCTTTATTAAGGTCTTATTTATTTGCCCATATGAATTAATTCATTTTAAGTATAAAATTCCATGACTTTAAGTATATTTACCAAATTGTGTTACCATCACATTAATTCAATTTAAGAACATTTCTTTCACTCTCAAAAATCCTTTGTACCTATTTGCATTAGTTGCTCTTTACCATCTCCAGCTTTAGGAAACCACTAAACTATTTCCTATCTCCACAGTTTTGTCTTTTCTGTATATTTCATATAAATGGCATTATACAATATGTGGTTTTTACAATTCCCTTTTTTCATTTAGTGTATAATGTTTTTGAGATTCATCTGTGTTATAGTATAAATTCATATTTTATTGATTTTAATTGCCTAGTAATTTTCCCTTCCATGGATATAGTATGTTTTATCCATTCACCAGTTGATGGGCATTAGGGTAATTTCTAATTAGGGGGTGTTTTAGTTAGATTTTTGGCTGCTGTGACCCAGAGACCTCACAAGAGAAATTTTGGAGGAGTAAAAGTTTATTTGGGGGCTCACAGTTTCAGAGGTCTTGTCCATGGATGGCCGACTCTATTCCTCAGGATTTGAGGTGAGGCAGAACATCATGGCAGAAGAGTGTGGTAGAGGAAAGCATCTAGGGACATTGCACTAGGAAGCACAGAGAGAGCTCTGCTCAACAAGCAAAAAATATATACCCAAAGGTATATTCTCCCAGGGACTCAACTTCTCCAGCCACACTTTACTTGCCTACAGTTACCACTCAGTTAATCCCTATTAGAGGATTAATGCACTGATTAGGTTAAGGCTCTTGTAACTTGATCATTTCACCTCTAAACCCTCTTATATTGTCTCACACATGAGCTTTTGGGGGACAACTCATATCTAAACTATATCACAACCCATACTGGTCAAGGTTGAGTGTAATAGGAAATATTTATTCAATATTTATTGTATGCTATGTTATCTTCACAACCTTCTTATTAGGTATACATGAGGGTTCTATGGCATATAGGATTCCTAGAATCTTCCCTCAAAGATAAAATGACCCATTTCAAACTGAAGACCTTCCCTCTGCAAAGGGAGAATCTATCCCAATGAATTTATTATAAGGAGAAGAGAAGGCACCTGTTGGAAACCCCAGTATGAGAGAAAAAAAAAAGTCCACTAAGGAATATTTCTCTTTATTTCTTAACTTCAGCCAATAGAAGCACATGAGCCAGTGGTTTTCGGATTCCTCTCATAATGAAACTACTTGTCATCCCTTGGAAACAGAAAGGATTATATTATCTTCACAATCCTTGTCAGGAGGCTGAAGTTTCCATTCCAGTGGCTCTTAGAAAGTGTGAAAAGAAATGGTTGATCCCTTATGTTTACGGTGTAACAGTCTAAGAAAATAACACATTCTAGAGATCCCTAGAAGGAGATTGAAAAGAGGGAGTAAATTGCATCATTTTTGAGACCAATGAGGATACATTATATAATATCTCACACTTGAGATACCCTAAAAAGCAACTTTGTCTTTTTTAGGTTTTGATTATGTGTTTGTATTTTTAATCAAGAACATCAACTGCAACTGAAGTTGGCTTAATTATGTGCCCCTTTTAGCCTCTATTTCTTTTCCTATTCTTTACTACTGTGGAAGTACTTCTTTCGCAAAGAATTGATGCAAAAGGGTGTTGTAAGCTGTAATCTAGTCTTTTAAATTGTTCTAGTGGAGCCTGACAAGGACAGGGTCTCTACCTGCTATTCATGGTGCATCTATGGGGTCCTAAAAAAATCATTCAGATACAGGTAATTTCAGACTTATTTAGGTTAGAGTGGCTTTGTAAGTTTTATACTACAGCTCAATTTTTTAACCTAGACTCCAAGAACCTAAGGAGTGTATGAATGTGCTTGGGTTGCATGAGTCTCCTCAAATATGTAAAAATGGTATAAGAAGTCAATAGATTTCAACAGGTTTTCAAAGGGTAATTTTATTTAAAAATATTAGAAATCACTGCTGCAGCTGGGAATGATGACACATACCTGTAATCCCAGCAGCTCAGAGGCTGAGGCAGGAGGATCTCGAGTTCAAAGCCAGCCTTGGCAACAGCAAGGTGCTAAGCAACTCAGTGAGACTCTGTCTCTAGATAAAATACAAAATAGGGCTGGGGATGTGACTCAATGGTTGAGTACCCCTGAGTTCAATCCATGATACCCCACTCCAAAAAAGAAAGAAATCACTTCTCTAGAGGTTTAATTTACTTATTCATTCTCCCTCTCAAGCAAGAAGAGAGATTGTTGGGAAAGACATTTTCTAGGATACTTTCTAGGATAGTTCTGGATCAGGAGTCTTATGGGAAGGGCAAAAACATTATTTACTATTTTTATTGAGACACATACTTTAATGGAAGTGCTTAATGGAGGACATTCTGTGGTGTAATCAGGAGGTATGAGTACCTTACTTTTGGGGACCTCAGAACCAATCCACTCAGGGTCCTGCATACTCATCCCACAAAGAAAGTACAGACTTATTCTGGGTGTTTTTTTGGAGTGCTCCTAAATTACGGTCCAGAGCCTTTGTTGAATAATTGGAATGAGCTAATAGATGTTCATAACCTGACAGTACTGATTTACACCAAGGAACTTAATTTTTACACTCAACTGTTTTTGCTGGATCAACAAATGCAACCAAAGCAGTCAAACAAATATGCCTACCACTTCTAATGTATTCTCTTCCTTTGTCCATCAAATAGTAATGGCATGATATGACTAGTGTTCTATGTTGCATAAAAATCATCACAAACTTAGTGACTTAAAACAATACAAACTTATTATTTTGGTGTCCATGGTCAAGAGTCCAAGCTTGGATGCCTTGCACAGAATCTCACAGAGCTACAATGTAGGCATTGCATGGGCTTTTTCCTGAAACTTGAAGTTCTATAGTAAGCTCATGGTTGTTGACAGAATTCAGTTTCATATTCCAGCAGGACTGAGCTATTCAATTTCTTGATGGAAATTAGACAGGGATAACTTCAAGCAACTAAGGGCTGCTTTCAGATCCTTGCCATGTGATTATCTCTATAGACAGTTTATAGAGTTGGTTATTTCTTCATTGTTAGTTGTTTAGTTCATGTTAGTGAACATCTCTTTGGCTTTCCTTCTGAGAGACCCAAATGCTCTTTTAATGGTCTCTTTTGATAAGGTCAGGCCCACCCAAAATAATCTCCCTTTTGACTAATTCAGTCATTTTCTCAGGAACCTTATCAGGCACTTCTGCAAAATGTCTTAACAGTAACCATGTAACACAACCTAACAACAGGAGTGAAATCCCATCACATTAACAAATGCCATCTATAATCAAAGGAAGGTGATTATATAGGATATGTATAACAGGGGTGGGAATCTTGGGGTCCACCACATCTAAGTGCCTTGTTTGGTCAGTGGAATGTTGTCCTTGGCAGTTTGCAAAGAGAATCAGGCTTAATAATGATGGAAACCTAGTTTTAGAGGGCAGATCATTATCCAAGAATCAGTGCTTTTTTTTCTATATAAATATTATTGAAAGTACATTTTTTAAAAAAATTGGTAGAAAGTTAGTTGCTTTGCTATCATTTTTTCCTAAGTTCATAGTTTGGTCTTGTACCTTTTTTAGCAACTTTTGATCAATTCACTAGAATCACTGAAGTAATGGTGAATGAAAATGACAATAATGACTTCCCTCTCTTATTGTTTATTTTAATGGAGATAGATTTAGTGCTTCATTAATCCACTGTTGGTCATTAGTTTTTGAGCTTGAGAATATTGAGTCATTTCTTTTTCTTCCTAGTTGCTGAGTTTCTCAAATTCCTTTTCAATATCTACATTTTGATATACATGGCTAGAATGTTATTATTTAGAAAGTCCTTCAAAAATTTGACAGAATTATAATGTATTTAAGTAGTCATTAAAATGAAGATTTGGAGAGCTATTTATTGATATAAAAAGATTTTCAAATGCTCACTATATATATATATATATATATATATATATAATTTTTTTGTTTTGGAAAAGAAGATTAAAATATGAATTTTGTTGTTAATTGGAGAACAGTGACAAAATAAATAAAATGAGATTCAGTGGAGACAGGTAATCTGACTTACCACAAGAGGAAGTTAAATGCACAAATATATAGAATAAGGGAATGCTGTACTGACAATGGTACCACAGGAAAAGATCTGATGGTTCTCAACAATGGTTAATAAATTGGGTATGAGTCAATAATACAGAGTGCTATTATTTTTGAAACAGTAAATACCGTGGAGAAATAGGTTTTATTCACAGAATATTATAAATAAAATGAGCCAGAGTTTTTCTGAGTGCAAAAAAGCTACCAATAAAATATATTTTAGTAAATGCTAAGGAAAAATAAAAGAGCATTAGATTACAATGGTTCAAATTAATAACATTTTAATTAATGTATCTGAACCAAAACATATAAAATTTAAAGTTAGAAAAATAAAAAATTAAAGGATTGAAAATAATGAGAAAACTTTCAGCTCCCAAAATACATTTTAGGTGGAAAACTTCTAATTTGTAATCTAACATTAAAGAAAATACTAAAAAAGATTAAAATAAGAGACAGACTTTTAAAAGATGACTGTAAAATTTATTTCCATTTGAGTATAGAATATATGTTTCCATTTAACATAAATTATATAAAAACTGGAAAAAGTTCAACCTAAATAAATTTGGACCATGATCATCTAAAGTATTGAAAGCACATTATGTTTTATAGTTTAAATTTATGATTTAATGAGAATCTATATTTAATGTTTAAAATATAAACTATAATTTCATACTAAATATCTAGGTAGAAGATTTTATATTCCCCTTGAGAGAATTTGTGCCAAAGTGAAAGACTACTACAAATATTTAGGAATGGTATTTTAGTAGATAATCCATCCTGCTGAAAAATCTATTGCCTCATTGGTGAAGGATACATATTATTTCAAAAATTCCAATAGATGGTTAGCAACTATGAATGTAGGCTCTTGAACATTATTTCAGGGGCTGTATTACATCACATCACATTCCTAAATGCTTTTGCAAACCAAATCTTTCATTTGGCTTTTGTGGATCTGTTTAGTGTTTTCATTTTCCAAACAGACCCTTATTAGGGACTCCAGTTCCTTTCCACAAGAATACACTCTGAATATGCTTGCTCTAGAACAAGAGTATGGTTTAAGCATTATGAAACATGGACCAAGAGTAGGATTTGGAGTTAAAAGATATGGGACCTAGTAGCACTCATTAGCTCAATGATTAAAAGTATGTTTCTTCTTCAAGTCTCAATTCAGAATCATTGAAGATAAAGCCCAAGTGATATGTAAACTATCATAAGCTCTATAAAAGGTCTTTATTATTTCTACCATTCCAATGCTGATGAATTTATAGTGTTCCCTTTTTCTTTATTTTTATTATACAATAATGCATGTCCAACAATATCTTCTGTATTTATCTTGTATGATACAAGACAATCTCCTGTATGATAGCCAAGACTTTTAGCCTAACTGCAGTCAAATCAACAAATATTTGAATTTTCTGTGTACCAAGATGTGAGTGAAGTCAAGTTTAATTTTGACCTTTAGTCCATTTAGGCAGCTATAACAAAACTACCATAAGCTGGGTGGCTTATAAATAAGGGGAATTTCTCACAATTGTGGAGGCTGGAAGTCTGAGTTCAAGGCACTGGCATTTTTATGACCTGGTGGGAACCAACTTCCTGGTACATAGACGGCACTTTCTTGTGAGGGTCTCACCTGGTGGAAGGGATAAATGGTCTCTCCTGGGCCTCTTTTTTTAAAGGAATTAATCCTATGCCTGGAGGCTCTGTCCTCATGACTAATCACCTCCCAAATCTCAATATCCTCACCTGGAAGGTTAGCATTTCAACACACAAATTTTAGGAGGAAGAAAATATTCAGACAATAGCAATTCCTCTACTTGAAGAGCAGCTTATGCTAGTTGCTAAGACAATAAAGCAAGCAATAGAATCAGAATTTAATCAGAAGTTAAATAATAATTCAATATTTAAATAGAACTTAAATTACAACATAGTCCCCCCATATCACACTGCCTAGCCTCTATTCCTTACTCAATAAAGTCGCCTTATTGCTCATAGTTCCCATTATCAATTAGCACTAAATTTTGAAAGTTAATCTGATTGCCTTTCTCTATATATTGTTTTCATATATTTATCTCTGCATGACATATTTTCTGCCTTTGTCAACTTTGTCATTTATGTAGTTATTTCTTCTGAAATCCAGTTTACAATTAGCTAATATATCACCTATATGTGGTTTGGTTGTTGGTGGAGGTGCTGTGGGTTTGTTTTGTTTTGCCTTGTTGACATTATTTTTCTAGCTGAGCTCTAATAGGGTCTCTGATAAAATAACATCTGGCACTTGGTGGGCACTTCATAATGTTTGATTAAATAAATTAGTTTATGAACATTATTAGCCAATTGATTTATTTTATATATAGCTAAATTTTTTATCAGTTATGATTTTACTGGAAGCTCTGTTTTAGAGCTTCCTATCTAATTATGCAGTGTTCTTTTGAGAACAGAAACAATATGGTTTGTTAGTTCTTCTAAGTCACTTAAAGTAATTTTAAACTTGTAAATTTCATATAATGTCATTATAAAGTTCTGGAAAATAAACAAAGAAACAAAGAAGTAACAATGAGAATTACCTATCATCCCACCATTCAAAGAAATTAGCAATTTTAGGCATATATTGTTTACCCTAATTTTATACTTTTTTCTTTTACTATTTCATCATAAGCATTTTCTGTTATTAGTGTCATGAAATAACATTTTTATGACTACAAATTTTCTCAGTATGAGAGTCTAGAATTGAACTTTTCTCCTCTTGCACATTTAGAACATTCCCACATCCCTCTTTTTACCTTCCATATAAGTATTAGAGTAATATTACTGTGTAAGACTATTTGCTAGAGTTTGTTTTGGTTGAAGAGATTCTTAGAGATATTATTGATTCAAAAGGAATTAACATTAATTTATTTTAATAGAAACTGCCCAATTGCCTTCAAGTATGGACAATTTAAACTTATTCTAACAGAGTAAGAATGCTATTTCACCCCATTCTTAATTGAGGTCATATTTTAGCAAAATAAGCCCAACAGAAAAATCTGGGCAATGACTTTGAAAAAATAAGAAAACTGACATTGCTTCTAAAAATCTTAAAAATCTTTATTATTTTTCTCTAAATTTTTGGGTTTTGTTCTAATAATGTCATTTGCTTTGTTGTCTAGATTTTCTATGCAGTTCATGCTTTTCAAGCACGGAGTGACCATGAACTCAGCCTTCAGGAGTACCAAAGAGTCCACATACTTAGATTTTGTGATCTAAGTGGGAATAAAGAGTGGTGGTTAGCTGAAACTCAAGGACAGAAAGGATATGTGCCAGCTAACTACCTTGGGAAGATGACTTATGCTTAAGGAAATAAAGCCTTTGACCTTCATTTTCCTGGCAAATTGATGATTGACTACCTCATAAAACTGACATTCTGAAACTTTGGGCCAGAAAGTAAGAAAGCTTCAAATTCATGAACTGATACTGCACCAGGTTTTAAGGAAGACTATATTTCCTAACAGGATTATTTCATGAATGTGTTCAATAAATACATGTTGAAGGAAATACTAAGCCAACAGAAGAGCAAAAGAAATAGCCCAAGCTCCAATTATAAACCAGGTAAAGGTGGAGATCTATTGAAAGAATAAATGTTGTTCTTTTATCATCATGAAAGACTGGATCTAAGAATAAGGTTTTTCAGTTTACTGTAATTTTTTCACTGTTATATATTTTGCCTCAAACATGTTTTTGTTTTTCATACTACTCACTTGCATATACACATGTTTATATATACATATACATCATATGGATTGTGGAATTTAGGCAACACTATTATTTTTTTTTGTGCGCGTGGTACTAGGGATTGAACTCAGGCCCTCGAGCATTCTATGCAAATACTGTACCACTGAGTTACATCACCAGCCCATGCAGTTTATACACATCTGTATAATACAGATTATACAAGTATAAGTACAAACCATAGCATATACTACATATACACAATAAGATTAATAAACAGCCAACTAGAAATCTTTGATATAGAAACTTCCTCCAATATACATTTTCAACCCAAAGAAAAAAACCCTGAAAAATATATTAATATCTGATATTGAATGTATACTATAGAGTATAAATAGTTCTAAATGCTATATATATAGTAACTTATTTAATACACATTAAGAGGAAACCATTGCCCAGAGAGGTGAAGTAATTTAGCCCAAGTAAGGAGTAGGGGCTGGAACTCAAACCTAGCAGTCTGATTCTAAGGTTCCTGCTGCTAACTGCTATACTGTGCTTCTCCAGGAGTGTATACGTTTGTTATCTGCAAAGCACTTAGTGATGTGAATAATGTCCACTGAGGAGGATCATTCTTCTCTTATGACTGTATTTAGTATTTAAAATTCTTTCAAAATTAAGGGCTTATAAGGACTTCCATATTACCCTAGAGAAATTAACTTTCTAGGTTTTAATTTTTATTGTTTTACTTAACTATTTTTGAAAGTATAGTGGTTTAAAACTTATCTTTCAAGATTTATAATGACACTTTAATGAGGAAATGTTTTTTGGATCACTCAGTCATTTGGATGATGAATGGGGAATGTGTGTTCCATGTTCTGAGCCAAGATGTAAATATTTTTAGTTGCTAATTTGTTCTTATATGAGACAGGAACTGAGGACAACATTTGCTATGACACAATGTCCTAGGACACCAAACTTTGAGTATTGCTCAGAAAACAGTCCTCCAAGATTTCAGGCATATTTTGTCAAGACAGTTTATTGAACTAAAGATGATTCTTTGGAACAGAAAAGATTAAATTTGATGTTAGTGATTTCCTGTAAAAGCAAATTAAGGTGGTTTTTCACTGTCCATATAAAATGTGTTCATATGACATTAAATATTAAGATTTGACTGTTACTTTAAAAGATTTATTTGAACTGTATAATGTTACATATACTATTGGGGACTACATTAAGCAAAATGAAGAGCACTACTTTTCAGAGACATCTGACTTAAACACACACACACACACACACACATACATACATACACACTGATATGTACAACCACAGGAAATCATGAGATATTTACATGACAGAAACATTTGTATTTTAAGATATTTTCCCTAAAATCATTAATCTAAACATGGCTTTACAAATTGTTTTGGCTTATTTTCTTGTTTTAAGTTGGGAATAGAAGATATATAGATATATAGGGACTTTTAATTATTCTTTGTATTCAACTTCAAAACATTGGTAAATTGTCTAAAATAAAGGAAAGGAAATTCAAAATTGTTAAATGTGGAAACTATGCAGATGTCCAAAGATCAAAATAATGGGGAAATAATGTATATGCACTAGCCTTAATACTCTCCATATAATAAAGAATTGTATGAACAGCATAGATCTGAAATAATGACTAGATGTATACTAGTTTTGTCTACTGGTGTGGTTCTAGGATTGATGCTTCATGTCTGACCTTTGAAGAATCCACAGCACCAAAATCACAACTGCAGTTGACTGCTGAGCAAGAGTTGTAATGAAGCTACCACCTGCAGTTCCCCACTATTGTGGTGAACACATACTACTATGAATAGGCATTACAGAACTCATGTAATACATTAACTTTGTAAGTAGTTTGATTAAAATCAAGTAAGTTATAATTTAGAGGTTAGACATTATTTTATTGGACTCAAAAGAAGTAAACTCTTAGGAGAGCTATGAGATACATAAATTTTCAAGAAGTTGAAAAGACAAAACTGTTGGTGCCATCAATATAATTAAGGCTAAGTATGCTAATGTAATAATTTTGTTACATTCTTTTTAAAAATTAAATATTGTACAGAATAGGATTCTGAAGTAGGTATTCTTTTTACTAAGAATGAAGGGAAAATTTTTGTAGCTAATTTTCTTCTTAAAATAAATAATCCAGCATATGTATATATATTTACTTAGTTTTTATTTTTAAATATAGATGCTCTTAACTAAGTCTATATAATATTTTTAAAAGTGTAAAAAAATCCCAAATTACCAAGAATGCTGAAATCATATAAAAAATCCAGTCACCCTTTTAATATCCTTTATATTTCAGAGACATATTTTTAAAATAAAGGTTGAAGAATGCAGAAGAGACAGAATGCATATTTTTAATCAGAGCAAAGAAGAACTACATGACATACTTCCAATGCTAGAGTATCCCATACTAGTATAAATATAATTTGTACTTTCAAGATAGATATTAAGGGTATGGTGGTACATACTTGTAGTCCCAGCTGCTCAGGACAGGCTGAGGCAGGAGGATTCTAAATTCAAGGCCAGCCTCAAAACTTAGTGAGGCCCTAAGCAACTTAGTGAGACCCTGTGTCAAAATTTAATAAAAAAAGGGGGCAGGGGATGTAATTCAGGGGTAAAGTGCCACGGGATTAAATCTCTAGTACCAAAAAAAAAAAAAAAAAAAAAAAAAAGATGGATATTAAGTGCCTGCTTCTATTTGTGATAAATATAGTGTTTGGATGATTTACAAAAATTAGTATTTTCACAACTGATGCATGGAATTAAAACCTCTTTGCCTTTCTTATTGTTTTTTTGAATCAAAGCCATAAAAATGAGACTATCTTTATATTCTAAGATGTCCAAAAATATCTTATTTGAATCCTGTTTATGAGTTCCTAATGTATTTAATGCACTGCTAACCAGTGAAAACATCTAGTCATCACAAAACTTAAGCTAAATTAGACATTTATATTATAGTTGATGAACAGAAGTGATTACATTTCATTGACCAGAAGGACACTGGACTTTACACTTTCTAGGGATAGATCACAATGTAGAGAATGTTACTCTTTCAAAAGTCTATTTTTTTTCTTTACTTCTCTTCCTATATATACACATATAAAAACTCAGTCAATAATTCTCTATAACATACAAAATTATTCCATAACACATTTTACTCCAGGGCTATTAGAACTAAACTGGGTCTCTAGGCCAGCTGCTGTTTTCATAATTTTGTAATCTAACTAGATAAAGTCAAGATTTGCTATATTTTTTTAATGTTTTTTGGAATAATAAATCATACTTTAACAAATGAAATGTTCTTGTCAAAAAATCTAGGAAAGATATTCTTAGTAAATTAAATTTATTTTACTTAAAAAACACTGTGGTAGGTAAATGTATGCCTTTCTCTAATTTTTATATATATTTTAAAATTATTGTATTAATAAAATTTTATTTTGGAATGTATTTTCTATACAACCTATAGACAATTTAATCTGTTACTAATAAAAAGCATATGCACTGCTAAATAGTGAGAACATCTAGACCTCACAAAACTCAAGCTAAATTAGACATACCAATTTACAATATAGTTGATGAGGAAGTAAGTAAATCCTTGTTAAGAATTGGAATCATCTAGTCAGGCATGGTGTACACACCTACAATCCCAGCAGTTTGGGAGGCTGAGAAAGGAGGATTCCAAGTTCAAGACCAGCCTCAGCATCTTAGGGAGGCCCTAACCAACTTAGTGAGATCCTTTCTAAAAATGAAAAAGGACTGAGGATGTGGCTCAGTGGATAAGCACCCCTGGGTTCCATCCGTGTTACCAAAAAAAAAAAAAAATTGAAATCATCTAACCTTTAAATACAGATGAGCCACAATTTATGATGGGGTCATGTCCTAATAAACCCATACCCATTAAAAGTTGAAAATAGGGCTGGGGTTGTGGCTCAGTGGTAGAGTGCTTGCCTAGTACATGTGAGGCACTGGGTTCGATCCTTAGCACCACATATAAATAAATAAAATAAAGGTATTGTGTCCACCTACAACTAAAAAATATTTTTTAAAAAGTTGAAAATACATTTAATATACCTAACCTACTGACAACCATAGCTCAGTAACACAGTATAGTTAGGAAATCAGTATATATAGAAAATCAGATGTTTACTTGCATGATTGCATGAATAACTGGGAGCTGTAGTTTCCTGACCCCACTCTGAAACTTGAGAGTATCATATAGAATATTGCTAGCTGAGCAAAAGATAAAATTCAAAGTCCAGGGGCTGGGGCTGTGGCTCAGCAGGAGAGCACTCATCTTGTACATGCGAGAACTTGGGTTCAATCCTCAGTACCACATAAAAATAAATAAGTGAAATAAAGGTATTGTGTCCAACTACAACTAAAAAATAAATATTAAAAAAATTCAAAGTACAGATTCAACTAAATGTGTATCATTTTTACACCATGGATAAACTGTTAAGTTGAACCATCATAATTCAGAGATCATCTATATTAGATGGCTTCCATTCCATCTCATTCTCATCTATGTTTTATAAAGGAAGTAACTGTGGAAAGATGGTGATTCAAAATCAGGTCA